TTTAGAATTTTAGGCTAAAATAGTTCTTATGTAGTGAATGGTGCTTAAAAATGAAAATTTAGCCTAATAGGCTCTTAAATGTTAGGTTATACGCAGGTTTTTATCATTTGTTTGGAGTAGTAATACTTAGCGAATTTACCACCCCTATCAAAGAAAACAATATAATTCAGGAGTTAGCTAGGAGTTTCCATAAAGCCAATGTGGTGATAAATAACTCGGATAGCAGATTAGTATGCTTAGATAATTAATGTAAGCGGACAACAACAGCCAACAACCATAGCTTGTGGTTCTGAGCACTGAGAAGAAAAGAAGTGAAAGGGAAATATAGTGAGTTTCGACGAATTTCGTAAAAAGATTAAAAGCAAGCGCTGAGTCTATGTATTTCAGTTTAATGAACATCTTTGTTGGATAATTATTCGAGATCTTTTCCCCCTCTCATACATGGGTTTTTAAGAACAGCGTAACTCTAATACTAAAAGAAACAAACTACATGATTAAATCCTATATTTTCTCCACTTCCACAGGACGAGGCGGATGAAGCGGTTGAAAGAACATACGAAGAGAACGAAGAGTAGTTCACAGCTCATGGACTGAAAGACGGCTGAACGGATCCCAAGAAAAACTCATGATTTAAATAAACAAAAACTAAAATATAGCCATGCTGTATGATGCTTTATTTTTAGTTGATAGTCAAATTTCAAGATGTTTTTCAAATAATCTTTTTAGATAATAAAATAGAATTTCGCACTGATTTGCCTTTGTAGTCGATTCAGATTAATTATAAACCAACCAGGGGATTCCAACCCCCGGGACCTATACCGGGGAAATTAAATTTCACAACATTTCCACCCGGCCCTGAGTGACAAAAAGGCGGCAAAACATCCCCAAAACACTACATCTAAGTAAGGAAAGACTATTATAACTTTACTAAAAAAAAATTTCGATTCATATTATAACGTACTATTTCGGGCACCTTTATTGGTTTCCTGTCAACTTAGCGTGACGATCGGCTCCCGCTGAAAGTCTATGTCAATCACCCTCCCCTCCCTAAGAAAAAAATTATACTTAATTACAACTGACAATAAATTTTGCAGGCGCATAAATCACTYTCCGAATCCAAAACAAACTGAAATATTTTTGATCTTTGGAAATTTAGAAAAAAATACATTTTTAAAACATTCCCACGAAAAGATTACTACACAGGCATAAAATGTAATCATTCACGCAAATACTGGAGTTATTTGAAAGGCAAGATCTTYAAGGATTTARAGAAGACATGATTTTTGAAAGCTGAACTAACCAAAGTGAATCTCATGACCACGGCTTGGCGCCAAAATTTTGAGTATCTAAGCTTCACACGATTCCAAGGTAACTTAGAAACTGCGTAAATTCGTGTTTAATATCACAAATGTCCATATCTTGTTAGATCCGTGACGGTATATAATTTGCAAATCTCTTTTCAACAACCGATTGAATTATTTGAATACATTGGTTCAAGCTCCGACAGTGACATGCAAATTGATTTCGTTGTCAATGTAAACTTTATCAAAAATTTGTTTGTTTTTGCTCTAAAGTTTACCCTAGGTTTACCTTTTATTCTGTTTTATTTAAATTCATTAATTTAGACTCTGATTTTCTATGCTAAATTGGCTAAAKTACGATATTCTCAATGCTAAATTGTCTTAAGTACGAACTCAAAGATGATCTTGCTTAATACAAGTTTTAATAGATACAAAACTCTTGTCGTAGCAAACTCAAGTGATTTTGCCACAACTTCGTGATTGCTTTTAAACATTAAAATTTAGTAGCAATTTCTATGAATGTTCAAAAAAGTAGATATTTTATAATTTTGTATAAATGTGTTGTTTACGATAGTAATTTATTATTCTGCTCAAAAAGCAATTAAAAAATTAATGTTATAGAAATAGACCATAACTTACTAGTAACTCAAATATTTCATAAAGAATAAACTAGATGCGCTGTTGTTTTCTGTCCTTTGATAGTTCAAACACAGTTGTGGCTGAGGTAATTTAAATCAAAAACAAGTCCCAGTGTTGAATCAGGGATTAAAATTTTCAAGAAATTGATGAAAACATAAAGCACAAATTTATCAAACTATAAAGAAATTTAAATTTTTTAATCATTTGTATTTCATTTTTGTGTCTCAGTCAGTCTGATATTAAAACTGTGGGAGATGGAAAAAACATGAGAAAAGCAAGCCTTATGAGTGTAACAAATTATAAGTGTTTCTCTCGATTCTTAAGTGTTCTACATCCCCTAATGTTTTATCTCAAAATGCATTTTAAAGAATAAGTTAACTAACTAGTATGTAGTTTTGTATTGTTAAATTGCGCTGTTGCGTTGAATAGTGTGATATGATTGGCTACCATTCCATTAAGATCTTGTGTAAATGCAACATCTGGCAAGATCTTATGTTGATTAATTAAAGTTCTACACTTTGTCTTAATTTGAGAAATAATRATWTGTTTTGGCTTGAATAGGCTTTTTTAAAGGTTAGTTTATTGATGTTTTTCATGGAGATCAAAATTTTCTTGTAGCAAAGAAAATTAGAGTTTATTAAACGTCTTGTAATTTCAAGATGTCAAATGAATATAATGTGACTGTTTATTAGGGATGGTATATTTTACATCGTGTCATATGTCAATAAAAATATAATAATTAGAATGGCTGGTGTTGTTAGAAATTAGTAAAATTAGAAATTTAGATGAACAAATAATCTGTGTTATAAAGATAAAATAATTTTATTCTGAAATACAACTGATATAAGATACACAAGAATGAAGCTCTCTGTTGATGAATTATTATTATAGTATTATTTTTAATTCATAAGATTTATTAATTTTCAGT